TTGTTGATAACGCTCGGTGGTGATTGTTTCGTTCGGTTTAAGCAGTCATAATACACGACACCTTCCATATCCCACCAAATACAGAGCATTGCTTTGTGACCGTGGATATTTCGCTTTGGAGTCGATATTGATGGTTGGCCAGGATCAACCCATGATTCTTTTGGGTTGTTGAAAAAGATCCATTTTTCATCGCCGGTCACGATACGCCACAAGAAACTCTTCTTGTTATGCTTTGCAAGCAAAGAAATTGAGATGTTTAAACGGTTGGCAATGGCATTTTCGGTCAATTCATGTGGCTGCCATTTTCCTTCTTTCTGAATCTTTCCCATAGCTTGTAAACGTCGAAAAATAGTTAATTTATCGACTTTCAGTTGTTGAGACAATTCTTTGAGTGTTTGAGCTGGATTTTCTTCCAATAGAGCTTGCAGTTGTTCATCTTCGAATTTTTTCGGTTAACCTGTTCGTTGTTTGTCGTGAACATCACAATCACCACTTTTGAATCGTCGAAACCAGTCTCTACATACTGTTTCCGATGGAGCAGATTCACCATAAATTTCCGCAAGCAATCGATGAGTTTCAGCTGCACTTTTTTTCAAATCAAAATAGTGTAAAAGTACACATCGGAAAAACAACTTATTACGTTCCATTTTAATTCAGTTATAGAAAAGCACATATGTAAACAAGGATGACGTCTGTTGACTGAATTTTAGTAGGAAATGTTCACATTTAAAAATGATATAAGTAGCAGATGTCTCTGACCATAGCATACGTAGTTACTGCCATCTAAACGTGAACAGTAGCTTTTAATGCAAACCCCTAATACATTACATTAATATCTCTAAATATTTTGAAAATATAACTCTCTATTCTAACCAATCTTTAATATAGTGACATTTGATAGGTGTAACAGGTCCTTCATTATGGCATTGTTTTCTTACCTGAAAAACGAAAATTAATGTATTATATTAAATATATATTTTTGAAAAGTATAAAAGCTAAGACCAATACGAGCTCAAAATAGAATGTGTTCATACAATATAATATAATTGTTTTTCATGCACTTAAATTATTCCTCAATATACTGATTTTTATTTATCTTAACTCTCCTTGGCTAAAATGAATTCACTGTTCAAAAATCGTTAAAAAAAGTAATTATACTATGAATATCTATTTTTAGATTTATATTGATCTTTATTAAATTTTTTTTTAATAGTTCATAGTCATAGAAAAGCTAATTATTAATTATTTATTCGATAATTTTTATAATAAACATAATATATTTGTAACGTCTTACTGGGCACAAACCACAAGGGGTTTTAACCAATCCCATTGGATTTAACAAAGGTTGAATCGCTCTGTATAAATGATTTCCATCATTTGTGAGCGTCTGTTCAATTTTACCATCACAAATTAACGTATTTAAAATCACTTCTATATCAGTTACAGTTAATTTCACCTATAAAAATATTGATTTTTTTAGTAACAAATATTGATTTTTTTTATTTCAAACTTTTTAAATAACATGTAAAAAATACAACCTTGCTTACTCCTAAATCCGAAATATATTTCAACACATCCTTAGATGAAGCATATGTCATATTTCTTGCAGCAATGGGGCCAGTGTTACAATTTTTTGTCTTTTCTCTTTTTTGCTCCAAAAATCGATAGCATTGTTGATTCAATACATCAACAAATTCTGTTTCAAAATCTTGATCTTGATACCAGGCACCACCTGTTACAGACTCAGCTGGTTCTAAGTTGTACAGCATATACACTTTTTTCTTACTGGCTTCTACAGGTTTAACAACTTTGACATACTTGCTAGTTTCTAGACTTTTCAAAATTTTTTCTAATGGTTTATTCATCAAATTAGATTTCGTTTTTATATCTCGAATCCATATTCCCTGGTTCCCTGCTTCTTCAATAATTTTATATACTATTTTTTCTTCATTGTCAGTGCACTTAGCAAGTTTTGTTGGATCTTTCAAGCGATAATACAATGAATTTGCTTGCTTAAAAAGATCAAAGTATCCTTGAGATAGAAGTTTATTTATAATCTTAGCTCGTTGAGCTGGTTGCAAATCAGGTATCGAAGCAGCTAAATCTTTGTCCGAAATACCTTTAGGTTTTTCTCGTGCAAGAGCAATTATTCTATAAGAAAAGAAATGAGATACAAAAATCCTGATAAAGCGATAAATTTAATAATAAAATATAATGTATAATGTAAATCATATCTGATTGTTTTCCATTTCAATAACTTCCAATCTTTTATGAAAATTATCAAGATCTTATAATAAAACAAATACTGAATACAAGGTAATTACATCAACCAAAAATTAATGTTTCACTGAAATGACTCAAAATTTTAAACAAAATCAATACATGAATATATAACACTATTATTTGACATAAACATTTTTAATACTATTATAATGATATTTAATATTAATAAGTGAATATTGCTTATTAATTGAAAGAAAGCATGCAACACAAGTATTAAACCAAGGTAAAATAAAAGATTCATTTTCTGTACTATATCATGATTTTGATTTTTCATTTGTTTTTTTCATCGCAAAATTATGTATTATATATTGAAAAAAGAACATGATGTAACGTAATAAGTTTACATTCTTACTTTTGCTCAATTGTTTCAGGCCCTTCGTGTCTTGTAGTATTACTGGTACTTGCGTTCTGTTCTACTTCCATTATATGAAATGATTGAAAATGATTTTATCGTATTATGCTAAAGATTCTTTTATCGCTGTTTTCTTAAATAAAATTTTCACAACGTCAATATTATTCACGTCAATTTACGTGCAAGCTCCTATGTTCTGTCCACGTATTTTAAGGATTTTGAGGTTAGGATTGTTTTTTAGTGTTTTTGATCTGACCAGCAGGGATTTCTAATCAAACTCCTGGTATTACCGTCAGTGGCGCCGTCACTGGCAACCGAAAATGCGGAACTAATATTCAATATGACTGTTAAAATCAATATAAATATTTACCTTGATCATTATTGATCTTCCTTGATCATTCTTGAAGGTGAGACCAATAAACTAATTTGATAACATGTGATAATGTTAACAACAAGTGTTGGTGAGTGTGAAGAGAGTGTGACTCAGTGTGGCTGATCATTCGAGTATTGTATCATAATTCATCATGTTATTTAAAGATTTTGTACAATAAGTTATTCACAGTTTACATTTCATTAACATCAGATTTGAGATTTTTATAAAAGATGCTTATTGTTTAATATAAATTAAATAAAGTTAAATGCTTATTGTCATAAAAAAAATGTATTAAACGATTGTATGATTTAATAAAATATTAATAAAAGTGATATTAATATTCTGAGTGGACCATTTGAGATATATGAAATGTGTTATATTCTATATAAATTGTCCTAAAGAAAATAAAAAATAGAACACAACTGTAAGGGACAAATTTTTTTGATCGCAATGGTGTGAGCATGTTGCGTTTCGACATGTTCTTCGGGAAAAAATATTCCATCTCATATGTTCCTAAAGGATGCTGGACGCCACAAGAAATGGTTTGAAAAATTGAACATGAAACCAATAGAGAACGAAAATGAAATTAAAAAGTTAAGAATTTGCTGTAAGAATTTTTCTGATGAAAATTACAGTAGTTCTTCATCAAGAAAAGTTTTATTACATGCTGCAATTCCATCTGTAAATGTACCGTACATAGTTGATATAAATGTCAAACATGGTGAACAACATACTAATGACAAATAGCAGACATTGCACAACTGTATAATGCAACAAGAGAGCAATCGAAAAGTATTGGCCCAAATAGCATATAATTGCAAAAGCAAGAAGAAATATTAATAGAGCAGCAAGAAATAATAATGTGATAACAAAATGATATCGAAAATATTAAGAACATATTGACTATATCAAATCCAAGAGCTATTCTCGGTAGAATTACTCGTAAAAATTTATTGAGTCTCACTTAAGAGACTTTACTCAAAGATTGTTGAAATGAAGCGAGACAAAAGACAGCTAATGAGACTTGTTGGCAAAGCCACAGTAAAAAGTACAACACATAAAAGAAATGCCAACAGCATAGATAAGGCAAAATTTTATTGAAATGCTCCAAAGAAATAATAATGTAGTACTAATATTAGGTGTTTATTATATTAGTTTAAAAAATGTAGAAATATACAGACGATTTCTCTTGTACATTTTAAAATATTTTTATGATATTATATATTATTGATGCCGAGATAGATTTGATCTTCTCATTTCTATTCTACTTGTTTTTGAAATCATTATTTCTTTTTTTCTTTGAAAAGGTTGAATTTTTCAGTCTTTCTCTTTTTTTTAATAATTTAATTTTTACATTAAATTGATATCTTTGTCAAAAATTTTTGTAAGTTTTAAAATTATCATTTGTGTATTTTGTTTCTTAAATAATAGACCAGACTGTTTCTTAAATAATAGACTGTCTGCAATGTGCAGTATAGTAAAAAATTTGAAAAATAAGGATATTTTAAAAAGTATAGAGTACGCATTAAAAACTACAGAGTGTAATTTGCGAAGTTCATATAACTGAAGTAAAAAAAAATTTAAAAGTATTAAATATATATTTGGAAGCATTTTCCAAGCTCTCCAGTCATTGTCCAATGCAATTAGATTATTCAATAGAAGAAATTGCAGAACAATCATCATTTATCATTCAATGGTGTACATTTGTTAATAAAATATTAAATGGAAAGCAATAAGAGGATTATGAAAATAATTACATGTACAATGAAGCAAGAAAAATACACAATAAAGTATACTAAATGGACAAATGTTAAAAAAAATAAATAAATTTAGATTGCTTATGAAGTTATTCAAATTATTGAGCTGGGACTGCGTTTTCATCGAGAATTTGTTTCTTGGTCTGTACGTACATGAAAAATTAAGTATATACAAAAGGAATGATTTTCAAATTGAATATATGAATACAATATTACGCAGATTATTATTTTTCAGGTGATGTACAAAGTAAGATTGTATGGAGTAAACAGTGATAAGGACAGCATTTTTGTATATGGATTATCTAAAAGTGGTTCTGATTGGAAAATTTTTCATTTCTTGAATGCATATATTGGTAAAATAATGATAATATTGTTGAACTACATTTCTGCTTCTAATGTAATATGTACATTATTTATTAAAAATATACGAAATATATATAATATTCATGAACGTGAAAAGTAAAATTTTATTTTTTTTTTACTTATAAGTATAGAAGAAATTCACAAACTTATGCAATTTTTAATACGTACTCTATATTTTTTATTTTTCAGACTTTCTATACATTCTGCACATTGCATAACAGAAATTTTAGAAAAAGTTAAGTTTGCATGGACTTATGACAACCGTGGTATTTTTTTATGGACAGTATCAAAATCAGCAAGAAGGAACTGACGTATAGAATTTTTATGTAGAATAATTACAGCATATCGATGGAATTTATTCATCAGGAGACTATCGATGGTGTGACAGTTAGTTCGACACATGTTGTCTCGTGGATGAGCAAGTATCAAATGTTGGCGTTTATCTGGAAAATTAATAATAACGAATTGAGAATCAAACTTGTTGGCTGTATATAAATGGTTTCGATCGTTTGGCAGAAGAGGTGGATATATTAATTCATTTATTATTCACTTTTCAAATATTTGCACAATCTCTAATATTCACACAATCGAATATTTTTTTACTTTGTTTCAATTTTTTTTCAGAACGTGTCTGAAATAGTCTATACAAATGCCAACACTGTGGAATTAATTCGACGAGTAATCAATGCATCTAAAATTTACTATGATTATCACATTATACTGTTAATGTTAGATTATTTGATATTTTAGCTATAAAAAGAAACGTAATTATAAAATAATTTTATTTATCACACGTGATATACATGATATTATGATAAAGTATAATATTAATATATTAATATCTTCTTTATAAGATAATTTTTGGCATTTTTAATCATACAATTATATTTCTTAAATATAATAAATGCAAATAAAAATACCAGTGATCTAGGCGACATGATGATCAAATCACTTAAAAATGACACGGTTACAGAACGTGTTAATTAATACGAAAAATAACATTATGTTTTAAAAGTATACATATATATGTATATATTTTTTAAGAATTGTCGCATTGAATTGTCATCGAATTTAAATTATAAATATTTTATGATACTTATCATTATAATTATCGAATGTAACATTTTTTTCGGCTTTATATCCTTATAAATAATTATCTTTTGAAAATTTTGTAGGAAACATTTATTTTATTAAAAATGCGTTAATTAAATTTGTCTCAACTGAATCGTATATAAAGTGTCAAAGTAAAATATCTTTTGTAATTATCGTACGATTGTAAGTAAAATAACATTTACAATAAAAGATATATTTTTCTCATATATTATATTCGTATCATTTGTATAAATACATGATGCTTTCCAGCAAGGACACAATCAGAAATAGTGTAACACAATCATCCTTGTTGTTTATCTATGTTAAATAATCTATGTTAAATAATGAAACGATTCATTGTGTCTGACTGTATCTACATAGTGTCTGACTGTGTCCTTGCTAGAAAACACTCCATGTCAACTCTTTCCATCATGTGACAAACCTATTGATCATTTATCAACATAGCAGGTTTTTGCATGATTACAAAAAAGATTTTATTGGGTAATAAGAGTATTCAAAATTTAAATGTTTGAGCCACATGATTTTATCCGCAGTTCTTTTCATGAACATTCTAAAAGAATATGTATTATAGTTGGAAAAAAATTGTACAATACAACTGTATGTAATATATTTCTTTGCTAGATTTAAGATTCCCGTAAAAAAAATGTGCGCTATATTTTTGTTTATTTGAATTACTTATATAGTGGATCTTTTTTTAACGTAAATGCAAAATTGTTATATTTCATTAAAGCTTACGATAATTCGTAGAATACGAAATATTTATTTAATTAATTAATTATTATATTCCATATTTTCATTAAGATAAGTGTAATAAAATTTAAACAAAACTTATTAGAGATGGCTTAATAACATAAAACATAAATAAGAAGGAATATTTGTAGTGACTGTATTTAATTTTTATTATAGGTATGTACGTAATAATACAAAGACATGATGCAATAGCATTGATAATGCGTTTTTTGAACATAATTACCTTTGGCTTAAAATTCTAGTGCTGGATTAATAGATATAATTACATCAAAAATTGCTTACAATTATTGTTGAACATTATCGCACTCAGAGCTGCGCAAAGACATAATGTAATAATTAAATTTTATAAAACCTTCATTGTTTTAATAAATACTGTGATATGTAATCTTTCGCGTAGCAGAATAATTTATCAATAATAACTTACTTACAATTCAATCAAATGTTGTAAATAATTATTTCAGTAAGTAATTACACTTGAAATAGATTATATTTCCATTTTGTAATGTTTAAATTATGTGATATGTATTTCTTTTTTAATTTTATTGAGCTGAAATTGAAACTGAAATGCAAAATTTAATGAAAAGTATAAATAACAAAGTATATGAAAGTCAGGTGTATAATAATTAGTAAGGCGCAAAATTGAGTCTATTCTTATTTAAAAATATATAACAATTTTGGTATTTCAGCTTTTTTCCGAACTATATATATCTCTTCAGTGAGAATATAATTCCTTATCTTTACATGTCTTCAGTTTCTCGATCAGCAAGTAAAAGCAGAAATAGATTCTAAAGGAATGAGTGCGTCATTTACACTGATTACAACGTGAAGTGACTTAATTAGGATCATAAGTTAAAACTTATAAGGAAACTTATAAGGAGAAATAAGAAAACTGTGGATCAGTCATTTTTGGATATAAATAATTAAAATAAAATATTGAAAAAGCATCTTTCTTAAGAATGAAGTCAAAAGATTTTTGGAGAGTCTAAATTGTTATACATTTTTAAATGAAAATATAGATTCAATTTGTATTGTACTTACTGCATTTAACTTTGTCTTGTACATTTTTTGCTCAATTTAGGATTTCGAGAATTTTTAGATCAATATATTTTTCAAAATACAAAAAATAGCATTGTGTAATAATAATAGATAGAAATCTCAGAACCAATTTTACATTTAAGAACATTTAAAATTATAGAACGTCATTAAATAAAAACTTAACTGCTCAAAAATATATATGATATCGATCTAATTAGACAATATTATTGAGACAAACTTAAATTTAAGGAAACCGTTTTGAAAATATACTTACAATTAATAGGATTTTATTGTATTGTTTCATTATATATAATTTCATATGCAAATTTTAAGCATAGTTGCACATCATATTATGATGTTTGTGCGACGCGATGTCTCTTGAATAGGATAGACTGTGTAGGAATATTTATTTTATTTTAAGAACAAAAATTGTTGGAGATTGCAAGAAGTATGAACAAATCCTGTAAAAGGCGTTATTATTCTATATAATCCATTAATTTTCTTTTTCTAAATTCGTGTAATAATCAAAAAGTTTAGTAAGTCAGACAATTAAGCGGACCATAAAAACATAAAGAAATTTATTAACTTTTTTGTTCTAGATAAATGGAAATATATCATGGAATATATAAACACTGCAGACTAAATGATTGGGTAATTACAAATGTAACAATTAAATGGATTAATGAGACGAAAAAAATTGGAAGTAATATAACTTACAACAAGGTAAAAAAAATTTACTATATTTACATTAAGATTAAGTTACTAAATATACATAATAACTTTGTTTATAAAAAACGCTGTTAAAATATTTTCGTCGCAAAACGTATGTATTTTAATAAAAAAATTTTTTAGGATAATTATCCAGTATACACGATTGGTATTGAAATTAACTGTGTGGATTACAGAAGAATCGAAAAGAATTTTTGTTAAAAATATCGAAGATTACAAAAACAAAAATCTCTCAAAATTAGACAAGGACGCTTGTGAAATTGCAAATGTAATTACATTTCTATATATGTTTAGTTAGTTTAATCAAAAGGCTTAAAACCCGAATTTGATTTACAAAAGGACTTTTATCTTATTCACTCATTTTTTTATATATTCACATTCATTCTCTTCCTTTCTTCTACCCTCTTTTCTTGATCTATCTTCTAATTTAATGTTCATTCTTCACTGCTTCTGTTTCTAATTATAATTATATTTGTGTTAATAATTACATTTTTATAATACGCACACAAATACACACATATATATATGAGTAAATGTATGCACGCAAATTTTTGAGTTACGAATGCGTATTTTTATACCATTATTTTTTTATACTGTTGCAAATTGAAAAAAAAATGTTTTTTTTTTTGTAAAATTACATGAATGATGTAATTCTTCAATTTTGCTGATTATTATCATTTACAATTTCAAAAGGAAGTTACACAAAAGCGGGTTACAACTATCAATTATATTTACATACATATATTCTTTCTAGCTATATCTCAGATTACACATGCTATATATTAACACATGAAGATGTATTAATTGTATGTACACAAGATTAAAGTATGTACTTAATGTATTGAGAGAAAATCAACGTGAAGAGCTGTTTGCTGAGCCCTATTATTTGAGACACATGAAATCGCATGTGTATTAAATATCACGTATACATATAAAATAGAAAGTAATACAAGATACGAAAGATACTTTTCGATAATTATATTTTGAACATCTGTAAGCCGGTCTATCTTTTTGCGCTTATAAATAATTATTATATAAATAAATAGCATTTATGAAGATATAATGCGTGATATAACGTGTGTTATTTTCATTCTTTAAACAATTTAATATTAATTTCTTTTTAATAGCATTGTCCAAACTCCTGCAGTTCCGATATTAAATGACTAAATGTAAAAAAGATTCATAATTTTCTTAATATTTAGAGTAAACGACAAAATCTCGTAATTTATTTAATATTTAAATTTATTACTCTAATAGGATATTGATATAAATTTATTGTTAGAGTAGTTCAAATTTTTACTTGCGACTAATATCATTTCTTCTCTCTATTATTTCATTGCGCGCCATTAAAATAAAGAAATTATAAAGATTATAGAAGCTCCACATAGTTTATTCTCATGCATAATAATTCGCTACTGGAGGTTAAATCGGTTTTAACGCGCTACATTGCGATGTAACTGTGTTTATTAGTGTTTCTTAATGCTTTATTAGTCTTCCGAGAGAAGATAGAGGTCCTTTCTGAACAGGCCAGGCTTATTGTTGCAATATATTTCTGAAATAGAGAAAACATACACACAATCTAACAAGTAAAAGAAACAAAATGTCATCTACTTTTTTCTTTATAATTTGAATACGCTGCACATTAAAAGTCTAAGAACTATTTTTATTTCACAGACAGTAGCAGTGCTGAAAAAACAGAGAAAGTGGTTAACAGATAATTAGTTACAGAAAAATGAGTTATATCATAGAATGTTTTGTTTTCCGCTCGAATTGGAAGAAATATAAAAAAATTACGAAACATTATTTGTTTGAATAAAAATTTTGTTGTTTCATTTGGGCAACCTCTATTATTTCACAGAAATGACATTATTATTTGAAGTAATATCTTTCAACCAAATAATATATTATTTGGTTACATTGAATACGATGAACAAATTATTTATTTTAAAATGACGAAATATATTGATAGAAGTTATTCCATACAAATTATTATTCTTAAAACAACTATTTACATTTTTTAGACGAAATTACGGAAAGAACGGCTTATATGTCTAACAATAAAATTGAACGACCAATGTTATACGCTCAATTATGTTTATGTGTAGTTGATCGCGCGAATACTGAAGATAGACATTATCTGTTCAAACAAATAATGTATTTAAGAAGAAGATATACATTGTTTTAAATTCAAATAATTGTACTTATTGATTCAAACATTGGTTTATTTACAATAAAATTTATTAAATTAAAAAAAAAATCAGCTTTTTCTTTGCATAGACGTCGAACACCACATAATATTCGATATGTTTGCATATTGTTTGATAATAAATTAAAATAAAGTAATTGATTTATTAATATTTTCCTACATTTGTTAAGATAAATAGTTTCAACAAAATTGATGAAGTATTAAATATACAAGGATAAATATATTTTAGTTGTTTGGTTATACATATTTTATTAAAGAATTAAAAGTTTCCTTTATGCTGAAGCTATTTGGTCTCTTTCTTGTTTTATTTTTATAATTTATTAGATAAAAATAAGAATATAATGACATAATATAATGCTAATAACGCGCTTTCCGAATGCAGCTCTTAACTTACACAAGGTGACCAGATATTTTCGGATTTAAATATATCTATTATGTGCGGAGAAAGAATGTATGGATGTAAAGATAAATAAGAGGAATATGTTTTTAAAAATAATGTAATTATTAAACCCTTTTTTTTAATTAAAAATTTGTAGATATTTATAGTGACAACTAAATGAAATCTATTTACTAAATATTGCAATCCAAAATTGATGTTAATCGGAAAATATGTAGAAAAGTGTTTTAATTGTAATACTTTAATTCTTACAAAGTTTAAAAATTTTCCTATTGTTTGTGACTCATAATGCTAATATTAAAGGTGACTAAGTCAGAAATTAACTACGCAAAATGCTTATCACAATTTTCTTATTTGACTAGCCACTGTGCGCTATGTCTGTAAGCCATGTTCCGATATACACTGCCAGCATTGAAAATAATACACGTAACGTGAATTATAGATCTTTAGTTCTGACAGTATATCGAAAAACATTAGTTACAGAGAGAGAGAGAGTTTTAGTGTGTCTTTTGCCATTCGAGTAATAACTTGCACATTGCAGGTAACAAAATTATATCGGTTTTAATATATTCTTATTAATCATATAACATCAAAACTTTAATTTAGAATATACAAGTTATAAGAAAAGAATGACATATGCCGTTATAAAGATTACATATGTTTACATAAAATAAAAATTTGTTAAATGATTTATGTTTGTAAGAATGTAAGATAAAAATCAATTTTATGTATTATATATAATTATAGAAGTGATTTATTTGAATGAAAATTGTTTTCAAGATTGTAATTTCTGAAAGGATTAATATCGTAAGCATATCTAGATAGCAACTTTCTGTATGATGCAACAAGGCAACGAAAAATATATTTTTGTTAAAAATGTAAAATTTACGTGACAAAAACATTGCAACAAAATTTTGTTATTCGTGTTTATTTAAAATATTTACAAAATGTCTTAAAGTTTAAAAATATAATTCTTTATAATTAGATTGTTAAATATTATTCGTTAATCCTTCAATCCACATTTCGTTTATTTATAGTAGAATACCTAATAATGAAATTTCTCAGCCATGTCACTTATATTTTCATATTAATTATCATTTTTATTTAACAGAAGGAGAACGAATTCGAAGAAGTATTAGGTGTAGTAAAAAGAAATCCATTATTCTGCGTTCGCGAGATACAGATTACTAAAACCATCTATTCGAAAAATAATGGATTTCTTTTTACTACACCTAATATAATATTTTAATGGCGTCATTATGTACATTCTTGAGATATAAATAATCAAATTAATCATGCATGTACCTGACAAATAGATCACGATTATTTTTAAAAAACTATCGAACCAATTTACTCATTATAAATATTCATCAACAGATTCTATCGCAAAATGAAGTTCAGCTGCGTAATGTTCATTTGTTCTTTGGTCATAAAATCGGGCATGACAATGATACAATTCGTAAGTAATTATACTACTCTCTAAAATCTTTGGAATATAATCTAATTCTAAAGAGTGAAATCTCATTCTTAAAAATTAATAATTGAGGTCTTTTTTAATTGTCACTGATTCAATTGTCACTCTTTAGAATTAAATTCTACTCCAAATATTTCGAATTTTAATATGTAACAGATCATATTTCTATTTTATAATGCTTGAATTATAACATTTTTAGTTTTATTGATTTTTTATTATATGTATAAAAAACAGATTAATTTTGCATTTTGTGAAATTATTTAGAAAATTGCTATACAAAAATATAAGATAATGTATGCACTCTGTTTACTCTTTATAAATTATAGGAACTGACTGTTATAAAATATATATTTTTTTTAAATACTTATGTGTATAATGTTTATAAGACTTTTATAGAAAATATTAGATATAGTATATAAAATATTTTATTTTATACTACTGTTAAATATTAATCAAATAAATATATCAAAATTTATTTGAGCCTTTTATTTTAATATGTAAATCTAAAATTTTCAAAGATAGGAACAATATTATCTCTATAATTAGCAATATTATCTATAATTAGCAGTATTATCTCAATAATTAGCAATATTATCTCAAGCCTTGAAATTTGAAATGCTTTTGCACGCTTATGCATATATTAGATTAGAATAAAGTTTGAAGTGCTACTTTATTTGTATCTACTGGGCTTTTTTTAAAAAAAATTGGGCAATTATACCATTCGAAGCAAAGTTTCAACTTTAAGAATCTGTTTTTTTTTAATTGCAGTACGATGATTTTATAGTTATGAGATCAAATTCAAGATCCTCCTTTTAATTCGCGATAATTTAGTAATAAAAAATCTTAAAAAAATTTTTTTAAACGATTTTATAGAGAAAACTTTATGTTAGAAAATCAAAAATTTTCATAAATTCTTTTTAAGCAAGTGACAGATAAAATAAGAGGAAAAAAATTTTCTATTTTGTGTTTAGTTCGTAGTTTTCTTATGTAGACCTTGGTAGGAAACTAACGTCAAAATGATGTTTTTTGATGTCAAAATGACAACGAAATGCTATCAGCTTGCTACCAGGGAAATTATCAAATTCACAGAAACTTAAAAGACATAGTGACCTTTCGAAAGTAATTTAAATTTAAATTTCGTTTTTTAACAAAGTTACAACTGTTTAGATTACGTTACAAACTTTTGTTCCAATCCAATATTTTTTGCTTATCCCTTAAGAATCCTGAATAATCGCTACGGCCATATTGAATGTAAATAAATAATAAAGCAAGAAATGATACATTAGTTTCTTGCAAGCCATTTGTAAATAAAGAAAATTTGGGTAAAACAAAATGAAATCATTTTAAAACACTCGTAAAAAATGGACCGAAACTGTGATTGCTCTCCCTGACAGTCAATAAATAGTCGTAAAAGTGCTTATATTTAACTTCTGTTATATATTAATACATATACGTAAATATATAACTTTATTGTATACACAGGTTGTCTGATAATTCAGCTCTGGTGAGCAGATACAGCATAAAATCTAAGGCCTAAGGTTCTAATACACTATCAGTACTGACAATCTATAGTTTACATTATATATATTATACATTTTTAGTACTGACAGTATATCGGAATGGCCTAAATAAAAAAATTTTATACCGTTTTTCAATAATTAATAAGAAATTAATAAAGATCTGTGAATTATCCGATTCAGTAGCGAATATTATAGCAATGAATCAGCGGGAAGATACGATAAAAAATAATTCAATCAAGTTTCTTTATTTTCCTTTTATTTTGTGAAATTAACGTTTCCTATTCATCATGTTATTAAAACTGCATGATTACAGTAAATACATTATAACCTGGCAAAAACAAGCTCAATAATATTCATATAAAGTAGTTAATGTAATCTGTTAATTTTTCTTTTCCAGACTCAAGGTACCTTCAATTCTTGTGATCCAGGCCAATGGATTATGACAAATACAAAATTCGAATGGGAAAACAACACGAAAATAATTTCATGTAATGTTACTTACAAAGAGGTACTTGTTAATAATTGCATTTATACATCCAAACAAGACACAATTATGAAATATATAACACATATAATCAAATTTTGGAATAATAAATATATATATATATATATATATATATATATATATAAAACTCCGAATGTAAAATGCTTTTTATTAAATATTTTATCGTAAAATGTATAATTTCATTTACAAAATCTTTTTTAGTCAAACAATAGCATAATCTACAGGATACATATTATAATGGGTTGTGAAGATATAAATTTTAATTGTACTAAGGAACCGATTGTATGGATTGACAATATCGACTGTAATTCCCAGAATCTCTCGTCACCGGATATGAAAATTTGTGAAATTGGAGATGTAATAATGTTTTTATAATTATTAAATATTATACACATGCGCGCGTGCGCGCGCGCACACACACACACACACACACACACACACACACAATGCACGTACACACATATGTAAGAATTTAATTTGAGAACATATGTGTGTATTTTTGAATATAAAATACATTTTGTAGTGAGTATACATTTTAGGTTTTGTTTATATGCAAAATATTTTTTTTTATATATAAAAAATCAAATTTCATTTTGACGGAACAAAACTAGTTTTTAAAAAATAAATTGATAATTTTAACATAATTTAATGTCAATTTGGAATAATGATTAAAAAATTCGCATGATACATATACGCTAATACGTGAAACACAATTCTAACTTATATTTTAAGAACATTCTAATTTGAAAATCTATATGTGAATACGTGAAACAAAATTGTAACTTATACTTTAAGAATAGCCTAACTTGAAAGTCTAACAGTTATTTTTATTTCACAGGAATTGGTAAAGTGGGAAACAGAGAAAGAGTTATTAGAATACCGATATGGGAAATTTATTGGAGACTTGCTCTCTCAAATGTGTTGTATAAGTTTGATTAACGTCGATGGTACAGTATATTTTTAAAATTGTCTTTTTCAAACATGTAAATATCTTGCCATGTAAGAATTAACATTAAAAAGTGTTTCTTCTTATATTCAGCTATTGATTGATGACATTAATATTGTATAGGTTTGATAAGATTAAATTAAAATATAAATAATCAAATACTTAGATATTAAATGTAATCAGAATTTAATGTTACTATAAAATGTATGTCTTATTTAAGATCAATTATTTGACTGTTATTGAAAAAACTTAATAAAGAGAGAGAAAGAGATTAATCCTTCATTTGATCTTCTACCAAAAATTGCTCGAGAGATGCCATACGCTCTTTGTCAGGATCATACATTTCGAGAAATTCTGTCCAAATATTTGGTTTGTGTTCTTTTAAATAATTGATTATTTTTCTTGCTGTGTATTTTTGCTTTTCGGTGCATTTTTCGCAAGATGTGAGTATCATATCCGGGAGAATATCTATGCAGATAAATCAAGAAATGTATTCATTTATCTCAATGTATAAATATATATAATATTTCGCGAATCATATTTGAATATCAACTATTATTTTCTTTTAACATTTTTCTTTGTTACATTTTTTTTTTTTTTTATTTCAATCCCTTTTCTTCCTTTTATCTTATAAAAAATGCGATACGTACAAAATTATTGCAACATATTGAAATAAAATATTAACTGCAATGTATACTTACTTTTAAAACTGCGTCCATCGGCGGTGCAGGAACCTTTATCGAGAAAGCAATTCACATACTGATTTAAAAGGCGATCGCTGTTAATAATCGCATCCACATCTATATTATCATATGTATCTGAATAATATTCTTTTCCTGAAACGAGTCCAGAGAACATGATACTACACAATAGTACAAATGTGAATCTCATTTCTTATGCGATCCTCTCTGTAACAACTTATTCTATGTAAATTATAATAGATTATTCTCCAATTCTTTTGTTAATTATTTCAAGATTCATTCATTAATTTAGTTTTAATAGAGTGCAAATGAAAATAGAAAAAAATTAACTCTTTTTAAATTAAAATCAATTAAAATCACAATATGACATAAATTATAAATAAAGAAGCAAATAGTTATTGGGATGTCAGTAACGAGTCATATTTAAAACATCATTGTTAAATCATAAACGTAAATTATATTTTAAAAATAGTCAAATGCGAAATGAGCAAACATGTTATCGATTATATAGTTAATACACACAGATAATATAAATATAATTGCAGACAAAGTTAAAGCCATTCGTCAATCCATATTTCGTATAGTTGTCAGCGATAATGCGATAATCTTGTTTTTAATCTTTACAAAACGATTCAGCATATTCTTTTTGTCGTACAAACACAAAAGCGTTATAATGTAATATTAATTTGAGAATTTTATAATAAAGAACTTTTATAAAAATTTTGTGCAATAAGAGATTTCCAAGAGATCAAATCTAAAAAAATAAAAATACGTATGTATGATGGTACATATTCTCACCTTCAAAGTTAATGTAAACGATGTAATTCGGCGGAATTAGATTTAACACTTTCAAGCAAAGACACAATTTCTACAAGAAGATACGTTCAATTTAGCGTTATATGATGAAGTATTTGATCAAGTACTTTGTATCAAGGAAAAAAAAATTTATTACCGAATTTATATGCTCGTTATTGTTTCGCATTTGACATTGATGAATAGTTTACGAAACATGTAACTTTCATATATACAATTTGTTATAATCTAAACAATTAATGCTGATTTATGCATAATTTGTTAACACGGAATTGATTTAATTGTCATGTCACGTAAAATTCTTTTGAAAGAAGACGTGACAATTAGCGATTTATAAATACGTTCAGAATCGTGTAAAAAAAGAACTTTTAACGCAAGATTATGTTTACGATCTGATTTTGTAGAATTGATAACTACACACGTTCTAATTGTATTTTCATATTGATTTGCAATTTAATGATCATAATTTAAATAGAAATAAAATCATAGAATTTATTTACATACATAATAACCAACAACAATATTAATGTATGATAATGAAATATCTTCTGTAATGTAACATTAAATATAACCAAAATATTTTTGCAATGTAAAATACAAATTATATTTTATTTATTCTTAAAAAAGTACATATTTATTAGCATTTCGAAGCCAATAGTAAATTATTGATTAATGTCAATTTTATATTTCTATCAACTTCTTTTCTGTTATTAAATATGTATGAATATTTCATAATTCAGTAATTATATATTTAATAATATTTAATTGCTATTAAATAATATTCCAATAATATTAATTATTATTCAAAATATGTAATAATATATAACTCTAAAAAAAAATAGTATAATAGGATTAAATGCTTGGTGGAAAAGAATTGCTAATTCGTGTTTTCTAATACATACATAAATATTTATATATATTTATTAATATATACGTTTATTAAGATCGAGTATGATTTGTTGGGATATATAACGATATTATATGTTCCAACAAACTCAATCTTACGAGGAAAGGGACCCAACTATTCTCTTTGAAATCATTCAACTTTCATTTTGAAAAGTTTTTTCTATCTTTAAGTTTCGACGATATTCACTTCGAAAAAGAAAAAACTATTATAATTTTTTCCGAGGGGTGTTTCACTCCTTAAAAGCGATTGGACACGTATAAAAAAAAACGTGTCGCTTATTTTTGTCTGGAGAACAATATACTACAAGCTTATCATTAAAATCAGAGGGGGACAGTTGGGTTCCTTTTCTTGTTAGTTATATGTTCATTTGTATTAATTTGTTTAATGTATAATTAAATGTATATATAGCAAGAAATAATAATTTCTATAAAAATAAAGAACTGCTATTTTCTTCTAAAAATATAAAACATAGTTGTAATTGCATTATAAAACAGTCTGCTCATTCAGAAATTATTATTTCTTGCTTTACATTTCTCGCAATATTTCTGTTCAATATATATACATGTACGTATATGTCTGTATATATATATATATATGTGTGTGTGTGTGTGTGTGTGTGTGTGTGTGTGTGTAAGCATCTCTTATAACTAAAGTTCGATCAAAACATTTGCCGAAACTGAACCGAAACAGTCGTTACATGTCAATTTCAACCAAAACCGAAACCAAAATTAAAAAATAAGAATCTTATAAAGTATAGATATATCCCATATATCATATTATATATTGTACTATTTCTTCATAAATATCATAATTTATTGAAATAATTAAATTTCGATCAAAATAAAATGCCGAAATTTCGATTGTGTGTCAATTTTGATCAAAGAATATAAGTACTTCTTCTTCATGAACATCATAATTTAATTATTGAAATAATAATTACACATATTAATATTTATGAAGAAAAGCTACATATGTAGTTTCAGTCGAAACTGACACGTAATGAATGTTCGTTTTCAGTTTCGGTCGGACTCTACTTATCACATTCAAATTCATTGTTTTATTTATTATACCTGAATAGATTATACTTCACGTTATTTTTATATTGTTTTATTCCTCAAACAGTTTTATAATCGTAATAGTTCCTCCCCCCACACACACGCGCGCGCGCGCATATCTGAAAAAATTCTTGAGACTCTCAAATATTTTTGAGACATCTTTTAAAAGTTAAATTATTTTCAATCATAAATTTATACACATATAGACTACGTACGTACTAGATTACGTGCCGCAATTGCTATCCTGGAATTTATTTGATTACTAATATTTTCAAAGTTTCTCTAAAAGGATTCTCTAATAAATAATATCTTATACTACCATATTTTTAATATAATTAAATCTTTTATTATATTATTTTGTTATTGTCTCATCTTGAATTCCACCTATCTATAATATAAAAATATTATAGACATGATTAATATTTTACTCAAAAATGATTATCTTCTTCCTTTTATTCATACACGAATAAAATATCAATACTAATAAAAATGTTAATCAAAAGGGAAATCGAGATCAACATAAAAGGTAAAATGGATTTTGAAGATTTATCAATTTAAGTCAGATGATTTTAGCTTTGAAGAAGATATTAAAGAAGATATCAGAGGAGGATATATTTCAAATCATCTCTCATCCCCTATTAAAATGATGACCCAAAATTTTTATTAAATTTTGATAAATTTTACTGTAAGCGTCATAATAAATTAAAAAAGAGAATTTTGAAAATCATATAAACAAGACTATATGTAGCCTATGTTAAGATTCTTATATGTTTGTATTAAGGAATTCATCGATAAGGAAAAAATCGAAGCTATATCCTTTATGAAAAAACCTTTATGAAAACTTTGAATGCCGCACAAACAGAATATTTTATTTAAAAACTAAATTATGTCAAAAATAATATTAATCAAATGGAAAGTGAAAAATTAGAAAACCAGATTAATAAAAAGTTTGAAGAGATTAAATTAAATTTCCTGATTTAAAAGACGATTATTTAAGAATGAAAAAAGTTGAAAAAATCAAGAACAAAATATGTTAATACAAATACGGAAAATTATACTAGAGTACAGAGATGACAGAGATATTTTGAAATGTAAACACGAAACAAGTATAGGACAAATTTACTTCTGTGTCTTGGTCTTTTATCAAAGTAGATTTACTCTTAAACTTTATTGGGTCCTATGTGGAAGTATCCATATTCGATGTTCAAATATGGAAATCGGATCATATTTTAAAAAAATTAGAATAAGATTGGGAAATAATTTATATAAATTGCTTGCTACATGGGAATTATTACTTATTGGATTAATGATAATATATCTTGGATTTTCTGTGTGAAACAAATTTTATATAACACTTAAAAAAAAGAAATACTTAAAGAAAGAAGAGATATTTAAAATCATGTGAAAATATATGCCTAGAAGTAAAGGACCTCTACTAAGAACACAGGAATAATAGAACAATAAAATCATATGGGGTTATTAAGCAATCGGTATTTTTTCAGTCAAGATAGCGGAAAAAGCCACACTCTGGCGATTAAGAAAAAGGGGACCTCTATACTTATGGAAGTATATGTATATACTTCCACCATGCTTAAAACTAATAATTTAAAATATGATAACATATTAGAGCCTCCCACTAGACGTAAAGATCTTATCAAATTATATCTAGAATTGACAGGAATAATAAAACATTTTGGACATCAAAAGCTCAATATAAATAATGGATTTTCAACAGAGAGAATATGAGAGTGAACAATCATTTATTAATAAAGATGTCGCTTCTGGAATTTTTATTAGAGGTTTTATCAAAGATTATTATCACAAGAAAAGAAAATGGCCACCATTGAGAAGTTGTCCTCCACAAATAGAGGAATTACATAAAATGAATATTTATCCCGGAATAGAATATGAGTTTAATTACTCTTTATGGAATGAGATAATATTTGATAAATTATTTGATTACGATTATAGCCCTGATACAACTGAATTATTAAAATATTCAGCGCCTGATTTAGATCAATAATTTAGATCCTAAACAGTTTCTGATTTAGATGGTCATTCCTTACATTGTGTTTTTAAAAATCTGGAAAATATCGAAAATATGGAAAAACAAACCTTTTTTTAAGATTCCTCTCAAGCCCGTAATTGAAAGAGTAATTGAAAGATATTTATAGGGAGGTGAGCATAAATTAAAAAACAAGATATCAGAAATTGACAATAATTATTTTAATTCATTTAACTTCACAGTAACTTTATATAGAAAATAACAAGAGTTAAAATCTTCTGGAAGATTATTTGTTAAACAAACATATCCAGAGATTAGTTCAAACTTCTATGGAAAACAATATAGCAAAACAAATAATGAAGTATAGACTTGAACAATGACAGGTGGAGAAATTCAACAAATGAGGAGATTAATAGATATTGCAACATACCAAGGAAAAGACTTAGAAATATTTAATTTAGATCTAAGTAAATGGAATCTCAAATTTAGACATGCTTTAGTTTGGTATTTTGAAAAAATAATGGACTAGATGTTTAACTTCAAGCAGCTCTTTAATACAAATCATTATTGGTTCTTACAAGCTATTGTCTTCAATAACTCTAAATTATTTCTAAATTACTCTAAGTTAAACTATAACGGTACGATTCTTGGATGTATCTTCCGAAATGCGAATGCATGGCATTACAAGTAACGTCTATTACTGTTTTTGGAACATTACGCTGATATGATGTGATGTCGTCGAATCACATGTACATATCATAATTACTATAAATATCTTCTTTCTACATTTGCATTTTAAAATAATTTCGTACATATTTTTATGTTAACTTGAAGATGACCTCATGGTAGGTCGAAACGTTATATTTGTGATTAAATTTTGTCAGCAAATTTCTATGTTTGTTTATAATTATCTTGAATATTGTAACAAATATATTGTATTATATTGGCTCGTAGCTCCTTTCTTATATGTATTGAATAAAACGAAATATTTTATATACTTACGATATTAAATTATAATAAAATAAATTAATATAAGAAAAAAAAGAATCTTTCGTATCACATAGTAAATAAAAAGAATTAGATCGTAGCAACATCGTATTTTTACGAGCAGACGAATCTGTTAAGATATTTATACGAAAGAAAAGAATATCCGCACAATTGCGTTAAGGAAAATATGTCAAGTACTTTTAGTAAAAAAAAAAGTGTAAAACGGCTCTTGCGAAGAAATACGATAAGAATGCGAAAGACAACCTCCTTGTCGATTCTCGAAAGTGCGTCTATTGTACAGATATGTGCCGTCTATAATGGATAAGAGTCGTCAAGATAACATCGCTTATAAACTACTGTTACAATTTTATTTTTGTTAGTAGAAAGAGACATACTATGGAATCTACGATTAATTCTAGTGATGATAAAATTAATCTATGCTGTATGATACTAAAATTGCACATTTATCGGAAACAGGTGTATTTTTTGCAGACATCAAAATAGATGCAAAACATGGGTTAATGGAAAGGGAGCCGAGAGAGAAAACCAGTTGCTGCGGAATAATAAAGCAAGCGATAGTGTGGATAGGCTTGACGAGAATCGAGAATCAGTATCAAAGCGAATTATTAAGTGAATTCGATAGGTCTGAAAATCTGTTCCAAAATTGGAAAAAACAAATAAGATTGCTTATATGTATATCGGCTGGATGTGAACAATGCCAAGGTTTCATTAGGAACACGACTAAAAGGCGTTGGAGTGGTTCCAGTCTCGTCCAAAACACATCGAATTGTCAGTGGAAGATATTAAACGAAATAAGGAAAATGTTCGCTCAGCGATAAAACCGTCTGAAAAAGAGAGTGCAATTCGAGGAGAGAGTGTGGAAAGTTTTAGCATACTACAATGTTTCTGATAGCAAACTCAGCGCTATCACTTGTTATTTTGTAGTATCCTTTTATTCGGAATTTTAATTAATAAAAATGAGATATAAAAACTAAAATAAAAATTACCTCCTATTTTAATTACGTTTATATTTGTTGTAGATAACATCAATGCCGTGGATATCGCTGTTGGCTTACAACCGCTTCATTTAATACAATTTCTTATAATGATATCTTGAATTCTTCAATGGTGAACTATACCTGCCTCTTTTGTAAACATTTTTTGCTTACTGAATGTTATTTCCGTAATTTTCTTCTATATGATTTTCTGTAATAACATTAATTCATATGTAATCAACAAATAAAATACTTTTTGCATAACAGATAATAAATTATGTTCTTTATAAATCACAATTCATGTTTTTTTTTTAGTATAGCATATTAGTATTACTCTTTACATTCACATAATATTTTAGTATTTGTAAAAATAGATTTCTTAAATAGTATTCGATTTAAAATAGAACTAATTAATAAATGACTTATGTAATACTTGTATAACGAATATAATTATAAAATTTAATATTTAATAAAAATTCAAATTAATACAAAAAAGTTCGATTATTCAATTGCCACAAGTAAATATACCTACAGTTTTAATACCAAATGGCAGTTTTTCGAGAGACGTTTCTGTGGACAAGGATACTTTCGAGAGGTTGTTGATCTTCCGAGAAGAGACACAAGTGTAAATTATAAACTATAAAAGTAATACAAGTGTAAATATTTTGGACACAAGTGTAAATTATAAACAATAAAAGTAATACAAATGTAAATATTTTGGTTTCTACCAGGATCAAACTTGGAGCTTTATGCATGATAGACTAGTACCCTGTCTGCCATACCACACTCATGTGAAATCTAATATGACACATACGTTTCAACCTTCTGAATGACGTCGGTTAGAAGATCGAAACGTATTATATTTATTGGATTTCACACATCATTTGATTTTATCAACTAATTTCTTGGCGAGGCTTATTTGCCTCTTTTGTATTAATTTGAATTTTTATTCCTTTGAGTTTTAGGATATTTCGATTTAAAATTTTGAATTTTTAAATTTTAATATTTAATATATGAAACAGTAAGTATTAAACAAAATATTTTACATTACTGCATATCTTAATTAATTATTTTGCATATCCTTAATCACTATAAATACGATAATATAATTACATTAAAAAAATTTTTATCCAAATATTGATTTAAGGAACTCTGTTCTGTCTTCTACTTGGGTATTTGCTTTCCTATTCCTTATTTCATTATCAGTATCCCTTTGCTTAACTTCAGGCAATTCAAATGTCGTCTCCTCCCCTTGTTCATGCTTTCTACGCAGTTTTTTACTTCTGTCTACATTATATGAGAAGAAGTTAATTTCTCTCTTAGCTTGCGCTATCTCTGTTAGAAGTCTTTGCTTATGAACTGCACGTTCATATGCTAATCGTTCACTCAAATGAATCCATTTAAATCTGTTAAAAAGAAATAAAATGTAAATAATATTAATTAAATAAATAATAAATAAAAATAAGAAATAATAAATAAAATAAAATTCTTATTTTACCTAGGCAAATACTTTATATTCCACATAACATCATAGAATTTGCTTTTCTTTCTCGTGGACACTTGAGTATTGTTTAACGTCTCTGCTACAAATTTTGCTACTTTTTTACTTTCAAATTCTATCCAACCTTCAGTAAAATGCTTGATTACTTTCTTGGTTTTCTTTTTATGTTTCACTGATTGTGTCTCTATAAATGTTTTACAATACTTTAAATTTAATGCTATTATATTTATAATCAACAATTTAAAATAATTGATTTTCTGATTAATATATTTTTTTAAGTTTTTAAGCAATCTTTTGTTTATATAAGACAACATAAAAAGCAGGAATTTTAATTGTTCGATTGTTTAATTTACATTATGCACAAATATAATAATTTTTGGAACAAAGTTGCGTTTACTCATGGATACTCAGAAATTCTATTTCATTTTCTCAGAAATTTTATTTCATTTATTATCACCAAATGTTAAAGAATGCATTCACAAAGATAAAGAATGCATTCTATTTAGTGACACAAGTTGACATAAGTATCGTTCTGTGTTTGTTACTCTGTGTTTGTTACTGTTAGAATGCAAAGAAAGATAAGTGAAACATTTGTGTCGACTTGCGTCACTTTATTCCTGCACTACCTGGGCACTTATCATGAAACAAGTCAGTATGAATTCCGATCGGAATTATTCAATTATTTCCTAGATTTCTATTGTGTTTTCTAGGGAGATCGGAATTCATTCCGACATGTTCCATGTTACATGACAGGTACTCAAAACTGAGATGCTATTCTGTAAAAGGTCCTCTACATAGAAATCATAGACGATTGTGAAGTCTTAAGTTGTAGAAAACTGAGCAATTCTAATCAAGTATTCTCCTTACATTTGATTGTGATTGGTTGTTTTATGATTGAAGACTCCACAACCATTTACGACTTCTATATAGGATCCTTAACTTTACATGCCTACTGACAGTTGTCGGTGTCGTTGCGCAGTTTTTTCACCATATAAAATATCTGTGCAACGACCTCAACAACTGTAGATAGGCATGTAAAGACAGTTACGGAATCGCGCCCCTGGTGCACACAGTGCAATAAGTTAAAGCAAAACAAACATATATTTGTTTCACTTCAACTTATTGTACCATGTGTGCTAGTGCAGGAATAAAGAACAAATCTATATTCTATTTTTGCTTCAGCACTAGACTGTTCTAGAACTCTCTTTCTCATTTTCAACAAATATCAGACATATACTTATCTCACTTTAAAAAATATACACTAGTTCAGCCACAGAAAACAGATTTTAAATAGAAGGCAAAATGCAATCATAACTAGAAATTTCTAAATACAGTCTATAGTACAATTAACGAAAGAATTTTTTTTAACTATCTTATATAACCGTAAAAATTGCCTAAATTTTAAGCAGAATCGTAAAACTCATAATATATTCTTGTAAGACTTGTAAGAATTTTTAAATGCTTGTCCTTTATAAAATATTTTTATAGCTTCTTACTAGTATAAAAGCTAGTCATAAAATTTACAAGAAATCGTAGATATTTACGAATAATCGTACAACTTACAATACATACGCATAAAATTAAAATATTAGTCATAAGTTCTTATAAGTTTTAGAAAAACACGTTACGAGTCTTACGATTCTGCTTAGAATTGACCCATAAATTTGAGATTAAATTAGATTGTATAATACACATGATAAATGATACAATAAAAATCTAAGACTAACCATTGTCGACTAGCTGCAGATATACTCTGCCCACTTTCCCATAAGCAGAAAATATCTCTCGGATCATCGTGATGTTCATATATTTCGGAATTGTGGACAGATAGATTATTCCTCTTTTAACGTTTTTACCTTTCTTCTCGATTTTCTTTTGAATTTGTGCCGACTCGTCTGCGTCGTAATCCATTGCATGGTCTTCGTTGCTCTCGTTCGAATTTTCTTGAACCATTTTTGAGTTATTCAAAATTAATTAAATAACTTCTTTGATTAATAGCATCTGGATTTGATACCACCAAGATTAATTACACAACGAACATTGTTAATCAGCACGAACCAATACTGTTCACACCATTTGTTTTCGCTAGACTGACCAAGTCAAGATCCCAAGAATGATCGAGAATAACAAAATGGCGTTTCACGCACTTCATAACCATCATTATAACTTTGCCGGAATTTCCAAAGATTGGCAAAGATCCGAGGATCGGCTAGTTTCGATGGGACTTCGCTACTCCCTCCTTGATATCATAAAAACGTGATCATAGCACATGCGCAGTTAACTACACTGTCGATTACGATTCATAACCTCAATAATGACGTACTTGAACGATTAATATCTCGCTTCACTGAGCAGAGCCACTTTTTTCTGCCAGATTCTTTCGTTTGTGCAAAAACGCAACCAATAAGTACAAATTTCATCGAAATTGAAGGTAAGAAAATCTTCTAGAAAAATACGGTTATATGTATATACATATAATAATATTACGAGGAAATGTAATTAATATAAGTTCACATCAGAGCGAAAAAGATTGCTATTTGCTATGTCAGAATAAAATGGAAAAGTATTCAAGCATTTAATCATTACAACAGTTAGTTGAAAAAATAAATGTGATCGTACAGTGTCTGTCACAAATTTTTGCATAAACAAGATGTGGGATATCGACAGGATCTAGCAAACCTAGCTAAATATAACTATAAGTAGTAGTTTGACAAAATGACAAATAATTAAGCAAATTTGCAAGTCATCCAATACAGATTAGCAGCAGGAACTGAATATCTATTAAATGTACATCTTTTTTTTTCTGTAATTTTTTCATTTAATGTTTTTACAAAATTTTCAGTAAACGATAAATTTAATATTGACAATTGATATCACTCTGCTATAATTTTGCTTGGAAATATTGTTAGAAGTCTAATTATCAGGTACAAAATAAACTTAAGTATTTTGCTGATGTGTCACAAATGTTGATAAAAAGCTATTATAATAATGTCTTGATAGCATAATTATATTTCTAAATTGTTTCAGAAAGCATGTTCTTCATGTTTTGTGATGGATAAGACCGAAATACAAGCAACAATTTTATTTTTTGCTAAAGCACGCGAATTAGTTGGCTGTAAAGAATGTAAGCTTTCTATACAAAAGAAATTATCATCTGCTGATCTTTTTGACAAGATAGTCCATGCTTTTGAGCTAGAAAGTATACGTAATCAAATAATACTAGCTGTAAACGACGAATTTGTCGTTCCAAATAGCATTCTTATACTATCAGAAAACGATAAAATTGCAGTTATTCCACCACTTAGCGGAGGTTTGTTTAATAAACAAATTAAATTATAAATTTATATTATTATTTTCATATTTATATTTTATTTGTAATATTTCTTGAACGTTAAGTAAGCCTGTATTTTTGTACTTATATGTTAAACTCTTTTATTAAGACATTTTCTAACGCATTTAATGTCAATAACTCAAAAAATGTAACATATGTTAAATAATAAAATTAATATTATTTGTTTAGGATAATGGAGATACTAAAGAATTTTGTTAAGCTGCAACAAGAAGAATTAAATATTACAGAAATCATGGAGCTGGTGACATTTTCTAACTGTGGAGCAATATCTAATTTTATTGGAATTACTAGAGATAATTTTGAAAATAAAAAGGTAAAGTGCAGAAATTAATTTAAAGTTTTTCTAAGTATTTGTCTGATAAATTACTTAAAAATTTTAATATATATCATGTAAATACTGAATTTGCATAAATTTGTTTAGAATAAAACTATATTTCATCTTTATTTAATTTTACATAAATTATATGAAAACTTTATTTAACGATGAGAACAGACTTTAATAATTTTTATTTAAAAAAAGCAATATAAGAAAATGTTAAATAATTTTCTTGTTTTATTTGACAATTTTTTTTCATATAATAGTTCTTTACTGACTTGCTGTTATTTTATTCATAAAAAAATGATTACTCTGATTTGTAATGTTATTAATTTGTATTCTGTTGCTTTAAACAAATAGCCATAAAATAGATTTTGAGTTTGAAAAATACAATCACAAGAATACATGATAAAAGTCAGTGTAACATCTAAAGAAAATAAATAAATTTGTCTTTTGTATTATAAAACATATGAATAAAACTTATAGAGCGTTATTTTGCGCAATTATATAATTTGTATTAATAAAAAAAAAGAGATAAAAATGTAGTCGTCTATTGTTTGGACGAAAGAAAAAATATTCTAAATCTGTTGGATTTTTCTCATGAAATAACAAGAAATCATTAATGAAAAATTGTTTTTAAAAATAATTGCAGATGAATATTCATGAATAATGGTCCTTTTATTAACATTTTTTGTAAATTTAAGGTCAATTATTTTGAAATTTTGTATAGGTAATTAAACTGGAATATGAAGCTTATGAATCAATGGCTTTAAAAGAGATGACTAATATTTGTAACAAAATCCGTTCACAATGGGATGTAGAAGGCATCGCCATATATCATCGTATTGGAGAAGTACCGATATCCAAAGCAAGCGTTGTAATTACAGTTTCCTCTTCCCATAGAGAGCAATCACTGAGGGCAGTAGAATATGCTATAAATGCGTTAAAAGCATCAGTGCCCATTTGGAAAAAAGAAGTATACGAAACAGGGGAACCACAATGGAAACAAAATAAAGAGTGTAAATGGATAAATAGTAAATAGCTTTTTAATTATCAATTCTGAATATTTTCTTATGCATGTCTCCTTAAATATTTGCTGTAGCTGTATGTCTATCATAACATTCATATTTTAATTGAAAGGAATCTTTATAATAGACGTAGTTAAAAGATTTATTTACAATATTATATGTTGCGTCATTGCATGGCTATCTGTGTTGATTTATTTAGTTTTATGTTTTCCTTTCCAAAAAATCTATTTTTTTTACATTAGTCTTCCTCGCTTAGATATAGATTGCCATAAGTCCTCGACACTTTCATTAAGTGGATACTTATTTTTCTTAAATCTCTTGCGATATTTTTTTATTTTTAGCCTTTAAAGTGGTTTTAAACTATCAATTTAAAATCATTTTAAAAATAGCAATATCTTTATAATAAAGATGAACTTGAACTGGAAATATAGTTCTTGTTTTTTTTTTTGTTTGTGTTATGTATATAAAAAATACAATTGAGAGTGTAACTAAAATAAGAGGACTAACTTCAGGGGCGAGTTATTTCAGTAACGATCAGTTTGCGCATGTTTACATGAACTTTTTTTTTCGTGTTTTAATTACCCCCTGTATAACAAAACACAATATATTTATATATTAGATATAATATATTTTTTAGTAGTATAGTTAACATAACATATAGATTACAACTGTAACAGATTAAAATTCGATAATATTACTAAATCTATAGCTTCGAAAAACGAAGAAGTTCAGATGACTTCAGATATAAATGAAAAAATACCAAATAAAGATGTTGTCGATCAAAGCCTTGTACAAATTCGAGCAAATTCAGAAGAATTAAATCGTAGAATAGAATCATTTATTGAAAGAAAGCGCCAACATGTAAATACTGTGAATGTTCAAGAGTTTTGCCGCTACAGGTCAGTTCATTATTAACACTAAAATAAAAGAATTTACATTTATACTTTAATATAATTTTCATTATAATTATAATATGTATACATAAGTGATATAATTACAAGCTGAAATTATTGTAACTAATTGCTATAAATAATATATCTACAGTGAAAATAATGGTAATGAAAATTCTTGTGCAAGAGTAGATGCCATTCTTATTCGACGAAAAGATTCCAGAAGCCATATAAAAGGTAATAATAGAAGTAGTATATAATTTAATTTTTTATTGCCCACTTGATTTCATATTGTTATATGTTTATATTATTAATATTTTACTTTTTTCGTTAATTTCTATTGATATATCGATTTATTACAAGATTTATTTAGATATTATACAAGATTTTGTATATATTGCAATCTAATTTATAGAATATGTTTTCTCTCGTAAACTTGCCTTTTTTCGAAAGAGGCTTTATAATTTATAAGAGAATCATTTATATAAACTTGTTGATCTCTGACATCAAAACTAAGATGTTCAATGTAGATAATGCTAGATTTTTACATTTTTTCGTAAATTTAAAAAATTATATCCAAATATCGTAATTTATTTATATTGTTATTTGTTCATATGATGTATAATTTTATAATAGAGGAAATTATATATAATCAAGATTTGTAATTATGTCTAACATTTAACTTGCAATTAAGTTTTTAATCATTGTATCTCAATATACATATGAGAGCATTTACTTTTATTTTTTTTTCTATATATATTAAAAAATATGCAAGTATGCAATTATAATATACATGTATATCTGAAATTATTTTTAGTTCATAGAGTGTTAAATGAGTGGGGACCTCAAACTATCGATCAATCAATTTTACGCAAACCAATTACAAATAATACAAGCTCGAGAGAATATCTATGACAGAACGTATGATAGGAATTAACAAACCAGTACCTAAAGATATTTACGAAAGATTGAAAAATATTGAAGATAGAATATTATATTTGGAAAGTATATCACCGGAGTATAAAGATTTTTGGACATAATAATGTTACTACTTAGATTTGTAGCTAGTATGTGCTTCAATGTTACTGTTTATATACATTTAATAAAAATTTGACATTTATAAGAGAAAAAAGGCATTTTATTCTTATTTCACGCTTGTGCTTGAAAACAATTATATACTTTAAATATTATACATCACAAACTGGGTATAAAATTGTTTAAAATATTTATGTTCAAATATATATATAGGTCATTTAAAAAGTATCCGCAGTTTTTTGTTCAATTTTTGAATGAAAAAACCGCGGATACTTTTTAAATGACCTAATATATATATATTATATTTGAACTTAAATATTTTAAACAATTTTATACCCAGTTTGTGATGTATAATTTTATATTTTTTACATTGTAGATAACAGAAGACATCAATTTGGAAAACATTTCAAAATCAATTCAGAAAATAGTAAGAATCACAAAATATTTTGTATATCATATATGTGAATTATAATTAAGTTATCGTTTTTTTTTATTTTAATTTATATATTATAAAAGTTATCCCTTTAATTGCGCATTTCCTATACTTTTTATTGGTTATTGGCTACGTTGGCTAACTTCGGAGTTCGACAATGATCGCGAACGTTCATCGATATGATGAAAAAATTCACGAGAAAATTCAACTGCACTTGCCACATGCATTATTTTACGCACCATAAATTCCGCGTCATTGTCTCGAACAAGCGTCATAGACACTTGTCACACTTGTTTGAATGCGTTTGAATTGACGAAATTGACGACGAAAGACACGCTATGCGTCTGCGCGAGCGGTCGTGCTGCGAGTCGCGTGAACCCCGTAGAACAGCGCGCGGAATTTTCGATGGACTATATGACCTCTGCGTGTACTTACTGCCTACCAAAATACGATCTCGAATGCCAAGACGACGCATTAAAAATGAAATGCGTACCTGACAAATCCGATCCAATTACTCAAAATATTGGCTTTGTGTCCGAACAGTGAAGAACGGAAAGTTCATTCGCGGCCGTTGCTGGACACTGAAGATCCATTGAAGATCTTCCTCCGCTTTCTCTTTATTGCACTTGAAGCACATTACACATACACATGAGATTCAATATACGCACGAAAATATCGTTCATAATTTCGACGAACCATGTCGAAAAGAAACGCAAGATTCACCTCATTTACCCTCCGGTATTCCGCGAACGCGGCTAACTTCGCGATTCCACTATGCTCGATCGCAACGAAAAGCACGAAAAAGGCAATCGAGAACATTATTTATCGACAAGATCGCAAATAAATCCAGCTTCCACACGCATTATTTCACGCACAAATGATCTCCCATCGCTGTCGGAAACGAATATTGCACATATTTGTCGCGAACGCGTATTTGAACCGGCAATAATTTAACAACGAAAATTAATTTAAAAATGAAAAGACGTTAAGTCGCGGCGCGGCGATCGTCTACTGCGCAAGCAGCCGTGTTCCGAGTCGTGCGGACCCCGTAGGAACGTCATATGACGTCACAGCACGTGACGCATTCAAAAGACGATACCGACTGGTACCGGCGTACGTTGCGCGACGTTTAATTTCGTTCAATGCGATATTGAACTTTTAATATATACGCCTGTATCATTCGTGTCCATTTTTTTTTTAAATACTAAGAGCACCTGGTCAAATACCGATCTTTTTTCTATTCTTAAAAAAACGTTTGGCATCTAGAGAACAAATTTTGTGCGTTACCGGCCTCAATTCGTACGTGTCCTTTAATTGGCATAACTCTGAAGTTCATCTCCAGTCACAAATGACCCATAGTGTGTACAGAGGTATTTCTGTAACTAAAAAATTTTTATTTGTTTCTTTATTTTCAACTAATTCTCGGTCGTATTGCAAGAATATTTCGCGAATTATTAAAAAAAGAATTTAACCGTAAAACAACATATTAACCCTTAATAAATGTGATTTTTGGTAACTTTGTTCTAAATTTTGCCAGCAATATTATGTTGTCTGTAATATTATAAAGAACATTTTCCTAATAAATTATAAGTTTTTTTAACACAATAGCAATAATAAAATCCATTGTTTTAAAATGTATATGCAATATATCTCCAATTTATAGCCATTCATGCATATTTGAAAAACATAATTTTTAGATTATTCAATAACTAAACTTTTTGGATAGACACTTGAACTATTTTTTTTCTTGTAATTTGGAATATCAATTTTAAGATACTGAACCATACTTTTCCTTTAAACATTTTTGTTTCAGAGTTTTATATTTTTATATGAAACAGTGCATTTTTCTAATTTCGTTAACTATATTTAATTACATTTCGTTAACTATATTTAATTACAATTTATCTACAATTTGTTATCAATATATAACTACACAAATACTTTCTAAAGATGTCAAAATATTTGTAAAAAATTGTTTAATAATTTATATAAATTTGTTTAAGTGATGAAAATCAAGTCAAGACACGAATGATCGAACGTATGTATTAAAGGTGTTAAAAACTAACGTGTGTATTAAGAGAAACATAAAGAAAATTATCCAATCACATTTCTGTCATAAAAACATACGTAAAATAGATTGGATGATTTTCTTTTTTATGCATATGATTATGCGGCTATGCAAGTTTGTGTGGAATGGCTCTAAAGGTTAAACGCCCTATTTTGTCCTAAAATAACTGAACTACTTGTGTTTGTTCACAATACTGGAAATTATTTAAAAATTTTGGACAAAAAAAGAATTGTCAAATCATATTCGAACAATTCGGTCACTTGACCAATGCGATTGATCAATTCTTTCTCCGTCAAAAAAATTTCTAGTATTGGCTGCGTTCAGCGAACTCAACAGTTGAGCGTTCGCTGTTATTGGTGTATTCTTTTAGATCATCCAATCAGCATTTTAGATCTGAAAGAATACATCAATAGCAGCAAGCGCTCATTGTTGAATCCACTGAGCGCAGTCATTGTAGACACAAAAGGCTGCTTTCAGAAAGGCTGCTTAGAGAAAGCAGCTTCGCAACTGTTGTAAAATTCTTAATATGATTAGTTTATACATTTAGGTTTGTAAGGAACCAAAAGTAAGAACCAATCATGTTCAAGAATTTTATAACATTTGCAAAGCTGTTTTTTCTGCTGAAAATGCAGCAGAAGCTTTACGATACATTTTCACAAATTACTCAAACCGACCGTGTCAACGACAAAAAAGGTGTGATCAAAATTGACGTTTGATATTCGTCAAATTTGGTCACGTAGTTCTTTTTGGCGACGGTTTGAGATTCGTGAAAATGCACCTTTAGAATAGAAAACGCGCGCAATCTATATGTTCTACGTCTATGGAAACGATGTTCGCTGCCATTCTGGCATTACGTCAATGGTGGAGGTTTCATTGGTTTGGGAGGAGTTGCTGTGACCGCCATTGTTACGACTCTTCGTCATATTACGGAGAAACGTAGTGAGAATCCGATTTATCCGCATTCCCTGTAGTGCGTGTCGAGGCCGAGGCGCCGTTTTCTAGGTGTTAACTTTCCAGTGAAGACCATAGACGGATCCATCAGTCGACGCATTCTCAGCGTAGCATGTCCACGATGAATCCCGAGTAGTGAGTAAACTTCCTTCTGCGCAGACATAAGTGTAACAAATTTGCCACTTTGTATAAATTATCAAGCGATAATATGGACGCTTCTGTGATGAGAAAGCGTCCACGTTATTGCTCCCGCAGGATCTCTGCTCGCTATGTTAGGGAATAAAAAATACGGTGTGCCCTTTGATTTTCATCGTCTTGACAGATTTACCCTTCCCTCTCGTCGCTTTCCCCTACTACTCGAAACATGGCACTCTTGTATCATAGTCCATATTTCAGTATTTTTTACTGTTAGATTTTCACTTTGCATTAGCCGACCTTGGCTCTTTTCTCGTAATAGTCCTGAGAACAGGCACGTATAAATTAATTTAATTGTTAACAAATTGACATCCTTTTTTTGAATTTTATTAGGAATTATACTTTACAAAATAGTTTTTCTAATTTAAAAAAATTTACCTTTAAAAAAATTTTTATTTTACAAAATGATTTTTCTAGTTTAAATGTCCTGTGTTTGTATTAGTTGTGATTTTAAATTCTTTCTAAAGTTAGAGACATTGAATCATTTCTCTCTGTTTGTAAGAATGTTTACAAATTATAATTGTAATTTATGCTAAAATATTTTCTTGTTTCAGCGATTACTTATTTAAATTGCTTCTAATCGGTGATTCTGGCGTTGGAAAATCATGTCTCTTATTGCGTTTTGCTGATGACACATATACGGAAAGTTATATCAGTACCATCGGCGTGGATTTTAAGATTCGAACCATTGATTTAGATGGAAAAACAATAAAACTACAAATCTGGGATACGGCGGGTCAAGAACGGTTTAGAACAATTACAAGTTCTTATTATCGAGGTGCACATGGTATTATTGTTGTTTATGATTGCACAGATCAGGAGACTTTTAACAATGTAAAACAATGGTTGGAAGAAATCGATCGTTATGCCTGTGATAACGTCAATAAGCTCTTAGTCGGCAATAAATGTGATTTACATACGAAGAAAGTTGTAGATTATACAACGGCCAAGGTAAACAGCACATATACTCTTTTTTTATATTGCATAATTTATTTAAATATGTTACAGTCCTCATTGCATAGCTGTATTTTGTTATAAACAGGAATATGCCGATCAACTCGGAATACCATTTTTGGAAACATCAGCAAAGAATGCAATGAATGTAGAGCAAGCTTTTATGACAATGGCTGCTGAAATAAAACTTAGAGTGGGCCCACCCTCGAGCGGAGCGAGTGATCCAGCCAACAAGGTGAAAATAGAACACGGACGTCCAATTGAATCTTCTAAATCTGGATGCTGCTGAGAACTATAATCTTGTGTCTCGTTTAACCAAAGTAAGCGAAATGAAATGTGTGTATATGTAAGAGTTTAATAGATTTAAACTCGAATGTGAATTATTAATTTATAGGGAACAATGATATCTTTTTTGCAGAACATCTAATGTGGTTGCGGTCCGGGTACTGCAAAATTAAACTTATTACTGCAAGTATAAGAACATGGAAGTTTTAGT